TCTATTTTCTACAGCAAAATAAATAAATAAATAAAGGGATCATATAATATGTGGTCTTTTATGACTGGGTGCTTTCATTTAACATAATGTTTTCAAGGTTCATCCACACTGTAGTATGTAATTCATGTATGAGTAATTCATTCCTTTTTATTGCTGAATAATATTCCATTATATGGATGTATCATATTTTATCCCTCCATTCATTAGCTGATGGACACTGGGTTGTTTCTACTTTTTAGCTATTATGAACAGCGTTGCTATGAACATTTGTATACAAGTTTTTGTATGGATGTACATTTTCATTTTTCTTGGGTCGATACCTACTAGTGGGATTGCTGGATCATATAACTCTATGTTTAATATTCTGAGGAACTGTCAAACTGCTTTCCAAAGTGGTTGTACCATTTTACATTCCCACCAGCAATATAAGTAATTATACTAAATGTTGAAATTATTCTATTCTCATTATATAAAATACAACATTTAACAACCAAAAAAGCAGACTGGAGCTGAAATTACTTCCAGATTACTTGATTGTTATGCCAGAAATAACTGCTATATCTCCAAGCCAACATTCAATTTGGAGTCTGTACATGTAACTTCCCTACCTCCACTTTTCTGTGTTCTCCTCAGTATTTCTAGGTCTAACTTACATAAGCTCCAAAAGAAACCAAGTCCCTTTCTTGTTTACTTCTCTAATCGATGCTTCAGGCTCTGTTTTCTGTACCCTCCATTTCCAATATAAGCCTCTTTCTTTTTGCTGATTCCTGAACCCCTATATCATCTATTTATCCCATCCCACTCCATCTTCTTTTTCTCCTTCTTACTCTTTGCAAAGTGGTCTTCCACTATTCATTTCTATGTACTTCTCATATGTATTTCTCTCAGAGAAAATGCTACGTATGTGTTTCCCAGTATGCCCAGCACTGTACTTAACACAGAGTACATATCTGATCAATTCTGCAAGTGAATTTTATAGCTTGTGCAATTCACTTCTGAGACTCACCTTGCTTGTAACTTCCAGCATTACCAGGGAGAAAGAGAACTGGAATACCAGTTAAAGGGAGGATTTTGTGTTCTTCAGCATAGGACCCTTCTCCATAAAGATATAATTCATACGCAGGATACCGTTTTGCCAGTTTCTTTGGAAGTTCTATTTTCTACAGCAAAATAAATAAATAAATAANCCCTTCTCCATAAAGATATAATTCATACGCAGGATACCGTTTTGCCAGTTTCTTTGGAAGTTCTATTTTCTACAGCAAAATAAATAAATAAATAAGCAAGCAATTTCACTTTAATCAGTTTTATTAATACCATTTAGCCTCACCGTATCCAATTCTGAATTATACAAACTTGAAATAGTGCAATATAAAAATATTACTGATGATAAAACTACACTTAATGTACAAAACAAGTTCTGCTTTTATTCATATGGAGAATTAATCTTGAATTATGTGAATTTTGAACCATGCAGTCTTCAAGAAAGCATAAAATGGGACTATCTGAAATTCTAATGAATACAAATTACTCAAAACAGCCACTGACAACAGAAAAACACTGGTAGATGTCAGCAAGTTACATGTTAACATAATTGGAAATGCATTTAATTTAGTATCAGTAGCAATTATACTTAGAAATGATAAAAGCTTTCCATTATCAAATCAATTCTTTTTGCTATTTTAAATTGTTTTGTAATGTCTCTTTTTACTCAAGCCCAACTATCCATTCCTGCTGTTACAACAAAAAGTAAGTTTGTTCTATAATGCAGCTTTCTGACCTCTCAACTTAATATGCTTTGACCTACAATGTGCTTAACAAATTAATCTGAACCTTATAGTCATGTCTTGGTCAAGACATGTACACTCTTCTCACCATAAACATTTCAATGAATTAGCATCTGTTTCAGTTTCACAGACGGGTGTGTGGTTTGTCAGCAAGCCTTAAACTACTCTGCAATTCATGTTACTGTATACCAAATGAGCCAGTAATTCACATAAAATTTTTGACAAAATATAAATTAGGTCTTAATGTCATCCCCAATAGGCATCTACAAAAGCGGTAAGTAAAGTACAAACTCTTCTTTTGCTTTTTTTTAAAGGATAGAAACCATTAAAAATGAAACCAGTTACATTGAACAGTAGGTTTTATTTAAGTAGGCACCAACAGATTTAATGATCTAGCAACGCTACACATGTGCTTGATAAAAATCTTAACTACTGAATGAATTTTTAAAAACTAAAAATGGTAATGACTATTGAAAAAAACCTCACTGTTGTAAAAAGCAGAATTCTGGTTACTCGTGCACATTTCTGAGTATTCCTTCGAGGATATTACCACCAATAACCTGTGCCGATACCACCATGGAAGCATCTCTAGAGAGTGTGAGCTTATTGTTTAAGATACTAGCAACTCTTTAACTCCTCAGATACTCAAAATAGAGAAATATCAATAAATACCTGCTTTATATGTGTACATGTACTTCAACGCAAATTAATCCCAATATTGATTATGTACTATATATAATAAAAAATGAAAATGAAAAAATATTTTGTTTCTTTCAGTACAAATTAAACAAAAAGAAAACGTGAGAGGAAAAAAAAGTTACTGTATATCAATTCCTCTCAAATGAGTGCAACATGTAATATAACAGTACATGCATATTAGATCAATTATTCTTTTTAAGATTGTTGCTGAACAAAGTTTTGAATTAGTTGAAAATTAACTCAGAAGAACAGGAAATTACCAAATATATAAAAAAAGAAATATTTAATTATCTGGAGATAAAAAAACAAGCAAAAGGCTATATTTGACATATTTCATAGTACACTATCATGAAAACAATTCTGTAGTGAAAGTGTACATTTTAAAAAATATAATGCATACAATGTGGAGTAGAAAAAACATAGAGATGGGAAGGAGATAGAACAAACAAAAAAAAAGTGGGAGATGTAGGCAAATGGCAAAACTGCATTTCCAGGCAGAGTTCAAGTTGGAAGTGAGTGGCAGGAAGAAACAGGAAGGGTATATTGACCACACTGAGGACAGAAAGGTATAGGTATACAAAAAGCATGCCGTTGAGAAAACAGAACAGGATCAAAGGATTTGAAAAGAAAACAGGTACAACAGGACTCCACTATATTTTAAGCTGATTATTTTATACAGATTATTTTAAATGAGCATCCCTATCCCCCAAAAGACCTTTAATTAAGATCAATTACTTTTACAGTTAAATATTATCTCCACAGTCCTGTCTCTGCCTTCTGTCCATCCTTGACTCTATCTGCCTTAGTACAGGTACTTCTCATTTCTAACCTAGACCCCTTTCAAAAGACAAAAATGCTAACAAATTCCCAAGTGCTAGAAANTAGCTGTAGAGGGCAGTGTCACTGGCCCTCATATGTGGGATCCGAACCGGGGCCCTCTGGCATCCCAAGCCAGCTGTTAACCATCGTGCCACTCGGCCAGCCCTATCCAGTCTTATCTCTTAATTAATAACTGTATCCAACCTCCTGAACATAAAAACCTATTTCAGGATGACATCCTTTCATTGTGTCAATTTAGAAGAACAAAGCAACCTAAGGTTGTATGTCTTGTGCCCTATTTTTTAAATCACATAAAAAGTCAAGAGGTCATTCAGTCTCCACCTACTTCCTCTTCAGTAGTAACAACAACAAATAAAAGGGAGAGGAAGGATTCTCTGAATAAGAAATAGGAAGTCTTTCACACTTGAATATTTTAAGAATGAAAGAATTCCTATAAAAAAAAATGTCTCATCACTTGGTTTAGGTACTCATGCTCGATTTGTCTTTTCCTCACATGTGATGTCCAATCCATGTGTAAATTCTGTCATGCTCTATCTTCTAAATATACCCCCAATGGTGGGGTCTCACCATGTCCAGTGCAACCTTCATAATCCAAGCGCCATCTCTTCCCTAAACTACTGTTTCCTAACTGGCCTCCCGGTTTCCACTGCTTCAGACTGCGCTTTGTAGCCCTCTCACAGAATTTATTAATTGATTACATTAATTGGCATTAAAAGTTGCAGTGTGTAGTTCAGCAAACAACATACCTGTTTGCCCTTCCATTATTTAAAACATGTACAGTTCACGTCATACAACTCATCACGTAAAGTGTACAACTCAGTTATTTTTAGTACATTCAGGGTTGTACAATCATTTTTGCAATCTAACTTTAGACATTTTTTCATCACCACCCCAAAAAGAAAACCCTGTACTCATTAATAGTCATTCCTCATTGCTCTTCTACTCTTAATTCCAGGAAAGCACTAATCTATTTTCTGTTCCTATGGATTTGCCTATTCTGGACATTTCTATTAAAGGGATCATATAGGGGCC